ATCTGCGCTGGTACATCAGAGGACAAGAAGGACACGTCTGCACGGGTGTCGTGGGTTGGGGCAGGTATCGACTTGAAGACAGACAACCCTTCTGTGACCCAGGTCAAGGAGGCGGTCTACAAGATTCTCAATGACTCAAGTTACAAGGACAATGCGACTAGAATCGGGGAGGAGTTGAATGCACAGGGCGGTGCGAAAAGGGCTTGCGATTTGTTAGAGAAGGCTGCACTAGAGCTAGACGTCAGCAAAAGCACATAAAACATAGAGGAGCTTTGATGGAACATTTTATCGGAATGTTTGGGGAGGTAAATGCATAGATGCGTCATTAGCTATAATAGAGTTCAACGTCAATAAGGAGCCGAAAGTATGCTGCTCGCTTCTCACAAAAGATGCAACCAAAGCCCTGTCGCGACCACTGGTCAGTGCATGCCAAGCTTCTTAGGCATGATGACATAGCTTCATAGCCGAAACCCAAGTTCAACGTCGGCCAAGATTCAACTAAACACCAAAGAAACATCAAGGTTGCTAATTGAACAATGTAAAGTGGCATGCAATATTTTATTTGAATGTATGTTATGTACAGTTTGAGATTTCACTTAACCAGCACTTTGATCCACAATACACAACACCAATAAACTCTTCTGGATATCAACTAGGTAAGACAGACAAAACACGACTCCAAACAAGCATTCGAATCCTTCGTCTACGGCTTACGTGAGCAGATCTTATCCTTCTCACAATCGAAGGACTGGGGGCTGAGATAAGTGACCACTCTCAGCTGACCCTTGGCCAACGCGCAACCAACATAGTAGTGGCTGCCGCACCGGGAATCCAGCGTCTTGGTACCGCTGTGGAGACGTCAGCACGGGGATTAAAGATCTAGATCGATGGCGTGATGGTAACTTACAAGATATCGACCATGGCTGCTTCGTAGTTGTCCATCATCTGATCCGATCGGCGTGTGGAGAAGAACTTGCGGAGGCGGGACAGCACATCCACGTCGCTCTTGCAGAAATACTGCGGAGAGATGTACACCTTGGGCGAGATGGCCTTGCCGCAGCCGAGGGTGTAGTAGAAGCCGGGGCTAGCTCTGCCAGGCGCGTCGTCGGGAAGCATATCCGAGGCGTCTCCGAGGAATGTCTTCCAGAAGTCCTTGAGATCCTCGATGGCCTCCCCTGACATGTCGAGGCGGCCGCCGAGTGTGATGCAGTCCATCATGTACTCAAAGGTAGTGTGGCGGGCTCTCATGTACACCTTGATGCGAGCATCCTTGGGCGCCAGACAGTCAATGGCGAGGATGCCCGTCTCGAAGTTGTACTTCTCTGTCCCTTCCCGGAGGAAGTCGAAGAGGGGCTCAGCATTGAGGGAGTTGAACTGATTTGGCGGCAGGCTGCGGATGGAGCGCTCTACAAGCTCGAGGTTGCTGATGCCCAGTTCCTCCGCCTTGAGTCCGGGGTAGATGTAAATCTTCATGACAGGGCCGGTCTTCTCAATGTCGAGTGCGACCACAGTGCCCGCCTTGGGTGTTGTCTCCTCGACGAAGCAGTCAACTGTCTTGGATGTGCGGTTGTCATGCTGCAGGATCTGGTTCGTGAAGTGCTTGTACCACTCCAGATCCAGACCCGGCACCATCTTCTGCTGTTGGAGCTTGAAGATCCAGTCGTTTGTCGCATACCTGTTGAGAGGATCTAGCTCCGTGCCGGCATGTGCGCCGATGGGCTCGAAGCTATACCTCACGACAGCATGGTTATCTCTTCCCCATTCCCAGCTGAAGTCGATCGGCGTGGAGTCTGGCGTCCCAGGACTCCTCCATCTCCTGACATTGCCGTGGCAATCTGGAGAAGGGCCAAGTTCAGGGGCGACGAAGAGGGAGTAAAAGTTGAGCTCGCGGTACTGCTCTGCTGCGCTGTAGCCGGCGTACTTCAGGAGCTTGGAGAACATGCGCCCTGTCCTGTCCCACCAGAACTGGGAGTCGTCGTCCCTGAACCGGAGAACCGAGTTCAAGAAGTCCCAGGGCTCATTTGACATGATCATTTCACCCATTTTGGCGGCTGTTGAACAAAAAGACTGTGGTATAATTCGAAGGGCGTTGAAGCTGCTGAACACGAAAGTAGAGTATTGTTGAGAGCTGAGCCTTGGTTCTGGAGAATCAAGCTCCTCAATTTATCACATGCGACCACATTACCTCCATTACCTCCTCGCCTTTGCATATCTCTTCCATTACACTGGGAGCTGCATCTTCGATGGCTTACAGCTCATTGGTTCATCCCATGTGGAGGTTGAACAGCAAAGGTACACCGCCAGGGAATCGGCACACAACAGGGTAGATGTTTCGCGCAGGCCTGTCACGTTTCGCGATATCTACGCCCGACCAGGGCACCCTGGGAGTGTTCGTCCGAGAACGAGTTGATCGTCCAGGGCATACGACCAGTGAGCAGGCATTGCCTGGATAAGACCTCACCTGCCGGCCGGGACAGCTCCGACGACGACTCCGACAACGGTGACGAGTAATTCCGTATTGTCACATTCGTGCGACAGCGCGGCACCGCAGCCACAAGCTGCCCCCACAGATCGAAGCTTTGATATCTATTCATATCAGTGGAAGAAACGGGTCCCGACAGTAATCGCTAAAGTATATTAAATTGCTTGGCCGGCGGCGAGTCAGCCGCCCTCCACGATTACCCCAGAAGCCAAGATGAGCATCGACGAACGTCCCATCGCTGCCCAGTCCGTCCAAGCGTAACGGCGTAGGTTCGTGAAGTTCGGGGCCATCCGCTCCCAAGCCCACGGTGCGGGGTGACAATGGCAGCGGATCCTTTGACCGAAAGTTTAAGCACCTGCTTGATTGACAGATAACAGTACGCTGACGCCGCGAATTGATTTCTTGATAGGGAGCTGTCTGTATGACTCGCCAAGCGGTTCCCACACCCGACAGCGGCGATGCGTCATATTACGGGCGTGATTCCCTCCCCCTTTGGGAACGTGATGCCGTTTCCACATCCCGAGTACTCGTGGACAGCTGCGCATGAGATTATTCTTGCCCTTGTCAGGTGATCCGTCGGCTACGCCTTGCTCCGTTCGTTTCATATGCCCAAAGGCCTCCGCGCGGTATCGTACACAGGCGGGGTCTTGCAACCTCACTGACTAGCTGCAATGGCGGTGCTTGGAATTATTGTGCTTCTGGTAGGTCTGAGGGACGAAAACTTGACTAACAGATTGATACTAACCTGGCTCGATCCCAGGCGATCTTGGGAGTTGTCGCCAAGTGCGTTTACAACGCATTCCTACATCCACTTCGCCACTATCCTGGTCCGAAGCTGGCTGGAGTTACCCGCGCTTACTATCTCTGGTACGATGTCCGTGGGGTAAGTCACTGGAAGGTCAAGGAATGGCACGAGAAGTATGGCGAAGTCGTCCGAATTGCTCCGGGCGAGCTTTCGTACACTTCCAGTCAAGCCTGGCAGGCTATCTATGGTCTGTTTCCATACCCATTAGTTGAGTCTTTACATTAGCTAACATGAATCAGGCTTTCCCAATCGGGAAGGTAATGGCAACTACGAGAAGGACGCCCAATGGTGGAACAAGAATGTAAATGGTGTTGAGAACATTCTCACTGCCGACGATGCCGGTCATAAGCGTATGCGTCAGCTCCAGAACCCAGCCTTCTCCGACAAGGCACTGAAGGCTCAAGAGTCCGTCATCACCGGCTATGTCAACCTTCTGGTCCATCAGCTTCACGGCCAAGTCTCAAGTCCCGACACATCGTTGGTGGACATGAACTCATGGTACAACTTCACCACCTTCGACATCATTGGTGATCTGGCTTTCGGTGAACCTTTCTACTGTCTTCGGGATGCGCAATGGCATTGGTGGCTTCATGCCGTCTTCGACATCTTCCAGGCCGGTACCTACCTCCGCGCCGCTCGTCGTTTCCCCTCGCCGTTGTCTGAGATGCTGCTGCTTCTCATTCCCCGCCGCCTCATAAAAACGAGAGTTGCCCAGTTCAACTTCGGTGTTGAGCGCGTGAACAAGCGGTTGGAGAAGAAGACTGAACGCCCTGACTTCAGTAAGTGTCTCGCCGTCGGACATCGTGAAGAAGCTGCTGACCAATGGTGCAGTGTACTATGTTCTCCAAGGAACTGACGAAAAGGGCATGGCCATGGAAGAAATCTACGCCGCTGCCCAGGTCCTCATCGTCGCCGGAAGTGAGACCACAGCCACAGCGCTGACCACCGCAACCTACTACCTCTGCGAAAATCCCGACACGTTGGCAAAGCTGACTGCTGAGATTCGTGACACCTTCGAAAAGGAGGAGGACATCACTATCCAAAGCACAGCCAAGCTCAGCTATCTCAACGCCGTTATCGAGGAGGCTCTTCGCCTTGGGCCCCCGGGGCCCGGCACCTTCCCTCGAGTCGTTCCTGATGGTGGAAGAACCGTTTGCGGCGAGTTCGTTGCTGGTGGCTACTCCGTCGGCGTGCATCACTTATCCGTCAACCGCTCCCCGGTCAACTTCCGCGAGCACGATGGGTTCCATCCTGAGCGCTGGCTAGGCGATGAGCGTTTCGAGTCAGACAAGAAGAGTGCCGCCCAGCCGTTTTCCTTCGGTCCGCGAAACTGCATTGGCAAGAAGTAAGTCATGACCTAGGCCCCTGATGTCTCTCTTGATATGAGATCTGACATATATATGCAGCTTGGCGTACGCTGAGATCCGCGTCATTCTCGCACGCGTCGTATGGAACTTTGACATGAAGTTGCACCCTGACAGTGCTGGATGGCTGGGACGACAGAAGATGTTCACCACTTGGCACAAGACTGAGATGAAGGTTCATCTTTCTGCTCGTGCGAGGTGAAGGTCTCTAGCCGGAGACTTTTATCGACTGTACTTACCCAAGATGGAGCAGCCTTGCAGCTGCATACCGCAACTTTAGGTGAGAATAAATGAGGGGCAACAATGTATGCATAGACGTGAGTGTAAAAAACCGGAATCAGCTCAAGTGTTATTGTAAAGAAGGATCAACGGGAGTACATGCACTAAGCCCATCCACCATCTTCTGCGGCCAAGCCAGCCACTCACTCCAATATGTGCCAAGATGAGCAGAGATAGACTGGACAAGAGCCTTGCCAGCATTTGCATATGCCCAGTACTCCCTTGACAAATGTAGAAGGACGGCCCAGTACGCCAGTACCACAAGGGCTTCCGGCCTCTGCTGGTCTAACAAATTGACATACTCCGTTGGAACTCTGATTGACCACTCTTGTACGGTCGCTCGCCGTCTGCCTGGGGATATTCCAGGCTTATTTTGCACGTCAAACATGAGCTGCAGTGCATCAATCGCTTCACGACATGCCGAGCGCGTTGACTCGCCGAGATCGCTTTTATCGAAAAGTTCCACCAGACCCGCGCATTCGCTGCCCCTTTCCATCGCGTCTGGCTCGATGATGATACTATCCACAAACGGTGAATCTGGGCCTAGGTGTGCCACAAGATGACCTCGCAGAATACTCCAGGACCCGGCGACGATGGTGCGAATGCCACGGTGGAGGTTCATGCAGTGCACCAACTTATCCAACACTGTCGCGAAATTGCCTTGGTGAATGAAGGTGTCGAACAAGACATGTTGGCCGAGCCAAGTCGAGTAGAGAAATATTGCAAGGAAGTTCTCGTTTGAGACCTCAGCTTTGGCAAGATTGAACTGCGATAAGGCTCTTGTTTGAAGTCGTGTTGCTTCGGCTCGGTAAAATGCTTGGTCCTTTCCAGGAAGGGTGCTCATATGAGCGGCTGATAGTGCTAGGAGTTCGTCCATGAGATATGGCGTGCCGAGTGCTTGCTTGATGGACATCCGTTGAAAATTTTCCCGTGTCGAGTCTCCAAACTCCATCTCGGCCCTTAGCTCGTGCTCAAAATGGAAGAGCAGCTCCATATGGAGAAGGTCATACGGCTCTGTTGGTGGATACTGTGGCCGGTACAAGGGTTGCTCCATTGGGATAGAGCCAGCTGCTGCAGCCGACGACTCTGTTGATGCAGCTGGGCTCGGGCATTGGTACATAAATGCCGATGGCGAAGGTAGAGTCGTTACGGTGTCGAGATATGAGCACCGCCGGAGCGCCGTAGAACAGTTGACGCATGACGGGCGGCTCTCGTCGCATTTCACGTGGCGCTGTTTGCACTCCTTGCAGCCGAACCGTGATTTCCGATGCGGCGTTCTCTGGCGCATCTTGAGCTGACGAGGGTACGATGGAAAGAACAGAATCCGAAATGTAGACCACAGGGCCAAGTTTCTGCAGACTTTCAAGCGGCGGGAGCAGCGATGGTCGCTCAAATTTTGAGGTTCGACGACGTTGAATCAAAGTGCAGATTGGATGAAGGGTCCAGAATGTTATCCCCGGCAGGACAAGCCCAGGCACTCCTTTAAGGTCTCCAGATGATCCACGTCGTTGGGAGCCAAGCCACCCCGGTGCCGCCGGTCCTAGCCTGCATTCCCCAGACCCATGCACTGTGCTCGCGTAGGCAAAGCGACTTGACAGATCCTCAGGTACGGATTTCTTGATCACCTAAGGGACTAATTTCAAGTAAGAAATCATGCTTAAATGGACGGGGCTTCCGCTTGAAGCGTTTAAGAGGATATCCCATTGGGCCACTTGCAACAGAGGGGATATTCGTTTGTCCTTGGTGCGATGGATATTGCTACGTCTCCCGTTGGGACGCAATTACACATGGGATCAACGAATTAGGCCAAGACGGTAATGGCTCTAATATGGTTAGTGGAAGAACGTCAGACTAGCAATAAGCAAACATTATTATATTGTAACCAGATCACTAAAGTGAACTCCAAAAGTTTTAAACTTCTTTTGTTGAAGCACAGTTCGTAATGCATGAAGTTTTACTGGGTAAGATGACGCCAGGTCCATCGCAAGGCAGTGCCCGGTGGATGGAATCCGTCGTATTTCAAGATCCCGCGTATTGAAAATTGAGCGATTCGCAGAGCATTCCAACTGTATTGCTAACCAGTCGGAATTGTTTGAATACGGGCGGGGCGTTTGGCGCTAGTCTCCTTTTAGGCGCCGATCTCATTCAGGGTTTATTGTCAATCGCAGTGACTTGTGTGTTGTCTTGGCGATATTCGTCTAGTTAGCAGCGGCAAAATTCAAGTCGAAATTGTACTGGATGTCCATGTCAGTCAGCTGTGTGGGGGGGACGCTTAGTGGGAAAAAGAAACCGAAAAACAACGGACAAGTTCGTTGAACAGGCAAAAGATATTGATTTCGCCCGGACTTGAACCGGAGACCTTCAGTGTGTTAGACTGACGTGATAACCAACTACACCACGAAACCATCTTTGCTGTTGAAGGACACGCCGGAATTGGGCCCTGAGTTGCTCGCACGGTCTAGCCGAGATTCCAGAATAGTTTGATTTTGCGGGTGCGGCCGTCGACAGCTGGCTTCCCCGCCAAGATCACGATTACTCAGCCGGACCTGATCAGTCGGCTCCTCGCGTGCTGTGTCGGCATTCGGAGCGTCGCGTTCAGCGAGCGAGCCACCAGGAGTCTTTCACCCTCACGACCCATCAGATCATCCCATCAATCCCTCATGTCCAATACTGAAGCCGACGAGACCACCTCGCTTCTTTCGACTCAGTCACCCAAGCCCGATACCGTCGAGGACGAAGACGAAACCATGAGCAGCCAGCTGTACTGGAAGGTCGGAGCCGTCTTCGGCGCCACCGCCGTCGGCTTCGGAGCCTTCGGGGCCCACGGCCTCAAGAACCGCATTTCTGATCCCGCAAAGATCGCCAGCTGGACGACCGCAGCCCACTACCAGGTAAATGGCCTCCCCCGGGGCTGTCGTCTCCGTCTGATGATTTTGTCCGATGAATACTGACGAGAAGTAGCTCGCCCACTCGATCGCTCTGCTCATCGCCCGCCAAAACCCCGTGGCTGCCGGTTTCTTCACCGCTGGCATGACCATGTTCAGCGGCAGCATCTACGCCCTCATCCTCAACCCCGACCTCAAGTTTCTCGGCCCTGTCACTCCAATTGGTGGTCTCGCTTTGATTGCTGGATGGCTAGCTCTCGCCTTTACCAAGGGACGTGTCCGCTTTTAAGTGCTGCCTTGCGAGGGTTGTCTCCGTTGCTCTCAACATGTACTTCTACTTGTATCACATCACGTTATGTCACCACGCGCGCTGCAATAAAATTCTCTGCTCCCCAATGGAAATTTCACTATTTTACCAAAAACCTTTTACGTTACTTGATGGCCAGAATTATTTGCCGTCACCCTCTCGCGCTTTGTCATTATTTATCCTGTGGCCTCTTATCCTAAGGTAGTGAAGATATATCATCACTCTAGTCAGGGAATACCCATCCGAATAAAGTCTTCAGTTTATCCATCTGCACACCAGCTGTTTCGTTGCTAGAAGTAGGATAGTTGAGTGATGCGGTGCCACCGATGTCGCACTACGTGGAGTGCTCTTAATAGAATCTGTCCGCCACTCGATAGCGTCTTGTTGAAAACCAGAGACATATCGTCGCGCGATTCCAGCGAACTCGGATATGATGCCGCCTGACACTGCTCCTTTTGACGAGGAGTCAACCACGCCAAAGTATCGAGAAGCCGCGTCCAAAAGCGCAAGATTCACTTCGGTTCTCGCATGATGCGGGTTATGAATGACGAAGTCGAAAAGAATGAAAAGTGCCGACAACGGCATTGTTCCAGATATGCTAGTACAGCGTCCCCGACGGTTTAGCAAAGTACTTGGATCAGATGAGATTGATCTATGCCTGTAATCAAGTTAAAAGATGGGAGTATGGGGCTCAAAGTCAATGAAAACAATAAGCCTCACAATGCTGCGAACAGAATTCATTAGATTTACCTTGCACCCCTCACGATATATCACTTCCTCTCGATCTAAATAGATTGACAGTCTTTCCAAGGAAAGTACAAAGCTTTAGTATGCATAGTTGGTTTACAGAAGCACTGCTTTCAAGCTGGGTATGAGGTTGAAATCATGCTGCTCAACTGCTTCTGGTCCGGACGCTGAAGCGATGGACACCGGCCAACCCTCCAAAAGACGTCGAACGTGGGCGGCGGCCATCGCGATCTTCGGTTTGAACGACGTACTGATCGAGAAAAGCGATGATTACGTCATTGATGAAATTCTAGCAAGGCGAATAGCAAATGCAAACTAGTAGTGGCCCTCAAAAACGCAGTCTGGAGCCAAACCCATTACGCAGCCAATGTCGTCGTCTGTCAGGACCTTAAACGGAAGCAATTAGCCGGCGACGTCCTATCAATCCCAGAGACAAGGGGGGATCTGGCGGTCATCCATGTTCATCCTCTTCCCTTCGCTCTTGCCTCTCTCGTTCCCTTCGCTATTGCCTCTCTCGTCCTTTCGAGAGCCACAATACTCCGATGATGATAACCTAGTATTCTCTCCGACTTAAGCTTGGACCAAGCAAAGCTGAGCTTTTGCAACGACCTGCTCGAATCTGGATTTCGAGGAAGGAGCCCTCCTCTGGCCAGAACCACGACAATTCAAACCTTCCACCAGACCACCAACTTCATCACTTACACTGCCCTCTTTCTCTTCTAAAATGCCTTGTGTCCAGGATCTGGTCTTCGAGTGTGACTTGGCTTACGAGCCGGTCTGGGACGTCCACGCGCCTGTTTCGCACATCGATCTCCACGCGGGAGGTACTCAACCCACTGTACCCAAGGGGTATGCGACCAAAGCGCCCTTTCCCTACTGCCAGCTCCTGCCTGAGCTTCAAGTTCAAGTCAACAGCTATCTCACCAAGAAGTATCTTGCAATGCTGTCCAGCACTTCATCATCAATGAGAGACGACTTGATGGCCAAGGCTCTTGGTACCATTTGCATCGCTGGGACCGTTTCAGAGGTGTTGAGAGAGATTCAAGATTTCAACGATAGGCCTCACATTGTGAAGGTCGCGAGGTTAGTACTGGATTTTCTTCCATCAAACATAGGCTGACGTCTCTTGAAAAGATCCCTCAAGATCGCACTTCACTCTGAAGATTTCGCGTCCATGGATCTCCCGATTTGTGCACCGAGGCAACGGACATATTCCAAATACCGCGGTCTCGGAACGCATCTTGGCTACTCTCTGACGTCTATGGCACCGTTTATCGAGGAACTTATCCTGTCGATCAGTGGTGCTGACCACATGAATAGGATCGAACGTCTTGTGCGAAGTCTCGTTTATGCGGCCCCTTCTTTGTGTTTCGAGAAAATGAAGACATTGCGGCTCAGGCTTGGCGATCGCGAGGCGGGGCTTATGCTGGGTGAATACTTGACGTCCCGGTGCCCTTCCACGAAAACACTTTTCTGGTGGGACACTGCGAACTACGACAACAAACTCATTCGAATCAATGGTCCCTTCCGAAGCGATAATTTGACATCATTCACTTTGGGAAATACAAACATGACATATAAGAGCATCTTCATACGCACCGTTCTTCTGGCGTTCCCGCAATTGGAGCGATTTGCCATGTTTGGCAGCATTCATGACGACACAGTGAATGAGTTGGCCTATTACGTTGCTAATGTAGGGCTTGCCCCCTTAACATCTGGAGTAGTGACTCAGTGAGCTAACTTGCCTTCCGTAGGGGGTCCTTGAGTTCGGAAGTTGCCTCAAGATGTTATCTATACCGATGGGTGGGTTTGAATCTCACGCCCCGGAGTGGGCACGTATTGCCGGCTTTTTTCTACGCTCACTACCAAAATTGGAGCAAATTCAGTTGACTCCGTGGAGGGTCTTTTTTATCGATTATCTGCTCGTTGCCCGAAATGTCAAGGTGCAGATAGGCTCTTCCGACGCCGATTCCAACATCACCTACTGTCGGGTGCCGGTGGAGGAGTCACTGCAGAGATGGCCGTTCAACTCCTTCAAGCTCCCCACGGGAGGCTCTCTCGCGGAGGACGATGCCAACTGGAACCCGATTTCGGACATCACGATTGAAACAGATCTTTTCCACAACGGCGGAGACGACGGAGACGACGGAGACAGTTGAGGCAACGGTGATGGCGCGCCCATTGGAGAAGGGGTTAAAGAAGTTGTTCCAGACCGGGAAAACAGGACTTGAGGTGCGCCCATTGGAATTGTGTGTTCAGACCTGTACTGAGCTCATCTACAACTTAGCGAGCACTGCATCAACACCGCTAACACTAACTTCCTTCGGGACCTCCTCCTTCTCCGCGTACACAATCTTTCCGTTATCAATCACGAGCGCGTACCGTGCACACCGCTCGCCCATCGTCCATCCGATCTGCTTGCTGAACGCCAGCTCGCCGTCGCTAAGGAAGAGGATCTCCTCGGGGCTGTTCTTGACGTTGTTGGCCTTGCTCCAGGCGCTCATCACGAAGGCATCGTTGTACGCGATGCAGGCGACGATGTCGACACCCTTGGCGACGAGGTCCTTGCGCTTCTCAATGTAGCCGGGGAGGTGGCGGGCGGAGCAGCCCGGGGTAAAGGCACCGGGGACGGCGAAGAGGACGACCTTCTTGTTGGCCCATTCGGCGGACGCGTCGTAGGATATCGGGAGGCCGCAGGCTGTGAGGGATTCGGTCTGGGGGTCGTAAGGGACATAGCTTGGAGCTTGGTTAGTCCTCTGTCGTCAATGGGTGGAAGGGAGGGGCTTACGTGAATTTGGTGCCGGAGGGCAGGGAGTCGCCGACTTTAACCATGGTGACGGATTAGAGAGAACCAGAAACTGTATCTGGGTAATGTCAAGGGATTTGGAGAGGAATTGATGCTTCTGGCGACGTGGACGGCTGATCGATGGCAAGATATCAATGTGACGGATGGTGTTTGTTGAGAGAGGGGAAGATTTGAAATCGACGATATCTGTGCTACAATTGGCGTCATTGGTTTGACCTCGGCTTCAGTTTCCCCGCCTCCTACAAAGCTCCGACCAGAAGATGGATTGGGGAAAAGCAAAGTCGCAGCCGGGACCCACATTCCAGCAGCCGGACATGGAGTTTTGGTTGAGCTTCTTGCGTCATGGGCAGGGAGCTAGCTCTAACCTTATTCTGTGGGATATTTCGAGATGACTGGGGTTCAATTGGAGACGGCACAGAAGTTCACGGAACATTTGCTTTGGTTTTCTTGTATTATCTATCAACCCCAATGCAATGAATCGACGTTCGAGTCGGGGCAGCAAAATCTCCAATTCTTTCTGTGCTCCTTAGAATACTTCGATGGCAACTCGACCTAGAACAAACTACCTCCCGCGACAAAGCCAACAATGTTTCCTTTCCGGCAAGACAACTCCCAAAGAACCTCATGTTGTCAAAGAACAACTCCCTCAATAGTAGGTCTGTTGAAGAGGGACGCCGCCAATCCAGTCGCACAAGTGAATTAAGTGCTTGACGGTGCCATGGTACTGACTAGTGGCTGCGAACATGGTCTTGCTCAGCTGAACTGGGGTTAGATTGCCACCAGCAATCAAAGCCGGGCCGTGGGGGAAGCTGTCCTTGACCTTGTTCATCAGGTGCTGTAGGACTTCTCCGACCGTGACGACAGTCTTGCCAAAAGTGATATTGATCGGCAGGTAAAGAACGCTCAGATTGATGAGCTCTCCTTGAGGAGTCAGAGTCCAGCCAAAGCCTCGAACAAGCTTGGCACCGTGTGCGAGGTATGCAATGGTGTGTGGTCCCTTCCACTTGTGGATTTGGCCCTGAGGGCTCTGGAAGCAGGGGTCGCAGTGCTCGATGGTGCTTCCAATGTTGATCGGATCGATCCAAACCTGCATATTCAGGTTCTGCGGGTTCTCATAGGCAAGCAGAACTCTAAGCTGCGGGTTGTTGACCGAGTGGGGTGCCCAGTCGAGTGGACCGAGAGGCGGGCGCTGGGCAGGAGGGTTTTGCAGGAACGCTGGGTCGGCCATGTCCTGCAACTGGGGGCCTTTGGGTCGCATCACAAAGGCTGGAGGCGCGTTGGGGGGAGGGCCCGGGTTTGGGTTTGTGGCAAGGCCTTGGTTCTGGTTCGCAGCAATGCCTTGGTTCTGGTTCGCGGGAAGACCTTGATTCGGGTTCTGAGCCAGGCCTGAGTTGGGGCCCTGGAAACCGTTGTTCACCATCGTGTATGGATCGACGTCCTTCGCCTCTGGAGTGTGTGTATCAGCATACATGACCGCCAAATAAATCAGAGATTGTCCTACCTTGCAGCTGGAGGGATGAGCTCTGCATACAAGTCTCGATTCGGGGATTCGGCGTTGATGGTAGTCGGGAGCGAGCGTGAAAGCTGAACAAGCAGCCAATTTCGTGAGATCTGGAGTGCGAAGCCGATTCAATGGTCTGGAAGGAAGTCAAAAGATGCCAGAACCTGAGGATATTGAGATCATTACCTAGAGGGGCTTCTAAGGAGCTTCTTGATATCGTCTGCGTATGAAAAGCGATGTCTTGTGAGCGACGACGACGACGACGACGACCAAAAGAGCCAACCTAGGGGCGTGGTAAGATTGGGATGAGATAGGAGGAAGGGGTGAAAATCCTTTCGTGGGATAAAATTCAACGTGGGATAAGATGGAGGTGAATGAGAGTGGGGCGTGTACTAGACGGGGAGGAAGGTAAAGTCAGACGGAAGATGCGATTGATGCGGAATACTCTCCGACGGACGTGTATTCACATGGCAACAGAATATCTCTCACCTTCATGCCATATGTTTGCACAAGATTGAAGCTAGAGGCTTACCATTCAACATCTACGGAGGCAACCTACAAGTTGTAATGTGAAGATGACAGCGAGGTCGGAACTCTATGTCGGAACTCTATGTCGGAACTCTATGTCGGAACTCACAATATTCGTGATGTAGCCAATTGCCCAGATTTGTTGCACGTTCAGAATAAGAACGTTAATGACCAGACGACCAGAGACGACCATAGGCTCTTAAGTTGCCCACGCTCATTCATCCGGTTCACTCTAGCATGAAGTTTCCTGCCTTAAACTGATGTCGTGAAATTCGTTGACTCGAAGTCCCCGCTTATCCTCATTTCCTGGAGACCTTCGTGCCAAACTTACGAGATGGACCAGGTCGTAATCATAGCTGCAGTTTGTAGGATATCGGTATTCCATCTCAAGCCTGTGTGATTGCCAGGGTAAACTCATCATTGCTTTTGACAGAATTACGTTTAGCTGAAGACAAGCTGAAATCAACTCATTGTAACGAACTTTCCTTGGCGTATGTGGAAAATGACTGTTTTTGACTGGCTAGGATAGAAGGGAAAAGGATGTGAATGGCTTATCTCTCCTGCTGCATCTGTGCGTTGCTTCCTTGAAGGTGGCGGAACACTACATTCAAACCAGTCTGAGATGTAAACCAATGATTCACAAACGTGTAACCTCCCCCAATCTTAGCGTACTCCATATCATATTTCAAAATCAGTGTTCCAACTAATTTGGTGACCTCCATGATGCTGATATGCTTGCCACTGCATGTGTGCGATCCATGACCGAATGCAAGAAACGATCGTTCCATTCGGCGAAGCTGAGCCTCGGTTGTGCCGTTTTCATCGACAAGCCATCTCTCCGGGATGAATGCATCAGGATCTGGGAAAATATCCGGGTCGCGATGAACCACCCATGGAGACATACCGACCTCTGTCCCCGGTGCCAGGTAGTACTTGCCTATTGTGGCTCCTGTTGGAGGTACCACTCGACCAAGCAGTTGACCAACAGAAGGATGTAAGCGCATAGCTTCTTGAATGACTGCTCGTAGGTAAGGGATTGCGTATGCTTTAGTAAAAGTGACTGGCGGCTGTAGGTTCTCCCGGACATCTTTCGCCAACCGCGCGTAAGCTCTGCGGCTGCGGAGAATGTTATAGAAGACGGATCTCATAGCGGCGGCCGTGGTGTCGGAACCGGCTGAGAGATTCCCAAAGGCGTGAGTGATGATCTCACGATCTGTAATCGACTTGGGATTCGCGTCCTGATTGAGGCCTAATCGGGCCAAAAACGTCATGGGCGCATCCTCTGCGGGAGGCTCACGCCGCGTTCTCTCAAGCTCCTTGGTTGCCAGGTCAAATAAGGCCGTGCCAGATTTATCACTACCTGTCATGTACTGTGCGATTGTTGGGTTGCCCAATAGGACTGGATGCAGCCAAGGCACATGGCCCATCTAGTTTAGCAGTTTTTGTCAGTTGACCCTTGTACGTTTGTTACTTCAATTTCGTGATACACATGACTTACAATAGACATGTAACTGGTGAAGAGATCGAGAGTTGGAAAGAAGCCAAGATGGTCACCTTTTTCCATGTAGGAGAGGTCTCGCCCCATGGTCAAAGTGCACACAGCGTCCATGGCGAACATCTTCAGCAGGTTTCCCAAGTCGCAGACTGTTCCAGATGACGCATTCCTGTCCAAAATGGCGACCAATCGGTCCATGACGGTGTTGATCCATGGTTCAAATTGTACCAACCCATTCATACTGTATGCATTGGCAGCGTTGCGCTTCATGCGCGAGTGGAGTCCTTTGTCATGTCGAATTACGAACGGATCCGGGACCAGGCCTTCCTCGTCATAGACAGCTGAAAGATCATAAAATGGAGATTTGATGAACTTGGTGCCGATGCCGTATATCTGGTTGATTTCATCCACGTCGGATATCGCTACCAGGTTCGGCGCTACACGCACGATTTTGCCATACTTGGTATGCCATTTCAGCTCGTCCAGGTGGTGGTGCCCTCGGTAGACCGACCACATTCGTGGCAGCGTAGTTAATGAGTTTATCAAAGGACCAGGAACTTTGGATAGCCTCTTTCGGTAACGATTCCAAAGAAAATAGGCTAGCACCAAACATGGCAGGACCAAATGCCATTTCTGTTGTACCAACACAACGATTTTTGAAGAGAGGGCCATGGCTCGAAGATCAGCGCGCTGGAGTTTGTAAAGCACAACGCCGTCAATGTGCATGTACAGATGATCAATGTTTAACATAACCTGTCGAGAAATTAAAACGGCATGACTATTACGGCTTTATTGCATACTCGTTTAGCCAGTCTTAGCCTACCCTGTACTGAGAATGCATGTGTAGATTAGATAACAGTGGTAACCCCTGGTCTGCAAGGTAATTACCCCGCATTCATCCTAGTAATCTTGCTCCATCATATCGTGTAGCTTACCTGCTTGTGACCTAACGTCCCGCACCCACTTTCCGGACACCCCCTCATTCCGGACACCTAAAAATGCCTCAATAAAATCTTTCTCTTACAACTTTGATCCTGAATAGCTTCACCACCTTAATCTCACTTATTTCCATCTTTATCTAACATCTTCTTCTAGACCATATGAGTCAATATACAGAGTATGAGATTAATCAGGCTCTTAATGCGATCTCTAATGGGCTTAGCGTGCGAAAAGCTGCATTGCAGTATGGGGTCCCAAAGTCTACTCTTTATGATCGTATCCAAGGCACCCAATCAAGAGATATTGCCTTCTCAGATCTACAGAGGCTCTCTCCAACCCAAGAAAGCCATTTGGCTGAATGGATTCGAATCCAGGCTGCCCTAGGCCTACCACCAACCCATCAACAACTCAAGGAATTCGCTGAGCGTATCCTACAGATCCATGGAGACGCCAAGCCTCTAGGGAAGAACTGGGTTCAGGCTTTTATCAAGAGAAACCCATCTGTAAGGGTCCAGAGAAGCAGAGCAATTGATTCCCAGCGCATCAACGGAGCCTCAACTAATGTCATCAGGCAATGGTTCAAGCACCTCGCCATCCCTGAGATCATAGCCATTAAAGCCTCCAATCGATACAATATGGATGAGTCTGGTATTCTGGAAGGCAGAGGATCAAATGGGCTTGTTCTTGGATCATCAGAAACTCGTTCTATCCGCAAGAAACAGCCTGGATCGCGTGCTTAGACATCTCTGATTGAGTGTATCTCTGCAACTGGCAAGGCACTGCCTCCACTTGTTATATATAAGGGCAAGAGTGTCCAGCAGCAGTGGTTTCCTCTAGATCTGACGCCATACGAATCCTGGAAGTTCACAGCAACAGAAAACGGGTGAACTTCAGACTCTACAGCTGTTAAGTGGTTGACAGAGGTCTTTATACCTTCTACCCAGCCAGCAGACCCCTCAGAGGTCAGATTGTTGATCTTGGATGGTCATGGAAGCCATGAGACTACTGCTTTCATGTATACATGCTTCAGAAACAAGATACACTTGCTGTTCTTGCCAGCACACACGTCACACGTCCTTCAGCCACTTGATCAGTCGGTTTTTGGGCCCCTCAAGGCAGCATACAAGAAGGAGCTTGGATTACTTGCTGAATGGGATGCTGGTACAGTTGTGGGCAAGAGAAATTTCGTTGTATGCTATGGCAAGGCGCGTAAGGCAGCCCTGACAAGCAAGAATATCATCAGTGGCTGGAAATGGACTGGTTTGTGGCCTATCAGTATGGCTAGACCCCTCATGAGCCCTCTGCTGCTTGAGAACACTTCAACCCCTGCCAAACCAGCTGGTCAGGTCTGCAAAGGGCTCTCTGATGGCAAAGCAAGCGAAAAATGGGCGGCAGATACATCAGCAGTCCCTTGGTCAACCCCCAAGAAGAGGGATGAGCTTCAGGATCAGTTCAGCCTGTTCAGCAAGCTGGATAACGATGAGCATATGCAACGCCTGCTTTTTCGGAAGGTTCAGAAGGGCTTTGATGAGAAGGCATACCAACTGGCAGTAGCCCAGCGAAAGATTGAGGCACTACAAGCAGAGGTTGATGCCAGTAGGGCCAGGAAACGCAAGAAGGTCAAAATGAGCCCAAATTCGAAGTTTGCTGATATTGAGGCTATTCGGAGGGCTCAAATCGAGGCGGGAGAACTTGTAAATAGTATAAATGAATCCAGCGAGTCTGAAAATCCTAGTGATAGCGAAAGTTGTATTGTAGTTGCATCAGAATAGCAGAAGTCCTAGGTTTAAGTTACTGCGTTGATATATGGGGGCATAATTTTTGGGTGTCCGGAATGAGGGGGTGTCCGGAAAGTGGGTGCGGGACGTTAGCAGATGGCTGCAATTACAAACTAAGAAGCTGACCGATACGAAATATTTAGCTGTCTAGGAAATATCCGGACACCTGAAGTTGCGAGGACCAGATAAGAACTAACCAATAAGCTAATTTTCCCGGTCTGATTGTTGGACGTCGTCGTTTCACATCGGTCCGCGGCCTCCGAGTATCCCACCCGGCCACCCGAAGAGTCATTCCGAGGTCCTGTTCTTGGTTCCGATGGCAACTAGTGAAGGGAAGATTTTGTTACTGGTAGAACAAAACAATGCACAGATTATGTTTTGGTATATGAACCCAAGAACGTCAGACAGTGGCAAGGCCAAAATGGCAAAACTTCCGCAAATAGTTTCCGTGCATTCCGAATATGGCAGAGTCAACGCTTACACAGTACGGTTTCCGCTTTGCTGACTGGGCAGGAGGTGAAGCCTCAGCCCAAGACTTTGGCATCTCGCATGCCGTGGTCGTGCCACCGAATGCCAGCCGAATCATAGTTGGCGGTCAACTTGGAATCAAAGAAGACGGTTCAATCCCTGAAAACATCGAGGATGAAGTAAAAGAAGCCTTCGAACATGTCTCTCGCAGCCTCAAGGCGGCTGGTCTTGGCGACGACGCATGGGAGCACGTCTATTCTGTATGACTTTTGTACCCAACCCCGGTGATGTAATGTGCATGCTGAACTCAGGAACAGGTGAAAACTTTTGAAGTTGCGCACAATGGCAAAGGCATTGCTGGTGTGGTGATCCCAATTGCAAAGTCTTATCTGAAGAATACCCGACCTGTGTGGACGGGCGTGGAGGTTAAATCTCTGGTCTTCCCTGCGCTACATATTGAAATCACTGTCGAGGCCTATTTGCCGAAATAGGAGAGGAATCTAGTTCGTTAAATGAGAGGCAGTCAATGCTAAGAGCCTCCGTAGCATTTCATGCCATGATGAATAATAGCCCAAGCATAATAGGGCAAATTGTTGCTCCCAAACAGGCAACGAACGGTAAACAGGAGCGCGAATTGCTGAACCTTGTGAAAATAATGATTCAAAACTTTTGGTCACGGGAGCATTCGGTTCATTGATTGTACGGCGTTTCCCAGGTAATAAAGTCTCAAGGTAGTGAAAGTGTTACTTGTGAAGCATGGTGAAACTGTCCTAGCAAAAATTTCATGCAAAAGATAAACACGTCGCAGTTGCTGAATCGGTCATGACAGAATATCACGAGGCCGTCACACGGGATATAATTGATAAACGCAACGTAGCTTGCTTCAGGAATAAAGATTGGCTGCCAACTATATCAGACTATTTCAAACAAAATGATTCATATGTTTAAGCCCGCACAGAGCTTGCCTCCAACGCAACGATCGCAGGCTTACTTCCCAGGTCCGACAAAACCTCTTTGTTTGCAGTGATCTCCATCTCATCGCAATTGCCATCGGCTGGCAGCGCCAGCTGTTCAATAGTGCCTTGTTTTCCGCTCCTTACATCCTCAGCCAGGTGGTCAAAATGCGCATCAACCTCTTTGTAGACATCGTATTCGGTGATCCAGTCAAAAAGTGGGATGACCAGGGAGCTAGGGTGCTTTGCAACATACTCGGGCGTCCAGTCGTGTTGGTGATAGATATTTCGGGTTGATATGGATGCCTGGTGAATAACATGAGACCGGTTGAATCGGATACGCTCAAAGACCTGCAAGGCCAGTTCGACATCCCCCTTGGACCTTTCCAGACACATGGCAACTACGGCTGCGTCTTCGACCGCTTGACAAGCTCCTTGAGCTGATGTAGGAAGGTGGCAATGTGCTGCATCACCCATAACCGCGGCTCGTTTGGTAGGTGAGAGCCAAGTGGTAAGAGGGTCTCGCCACACAAGTTTGTAGTCAATTAATCGGTCCTCTGGAGTGGCCTCGAGAACAGTGTACCATACTTCAGGGAACTTGGCTTTGTCCAGGAAGTATCGAACGTCCGCCCTGGTGGTCCTCTCGGACCACGACTCTGCAATGTCTGTCTCGTCCTTGTGAGTTAAGACCCAGGCACAATCCCTAAAAGTATTACAGCCCAGTTAGATTATAGATTCATGATGTCTGTGATGTGCCCACAGTGGAAGCACAAAGTAGAGAGCTTAGTGTTGGGGAAACATTAAAATCAAAATGAACTCACCTTCCATTCTTCCACGTGTAAATGAAGCCGTGCATGTCGCGTCCAACCCAGCATCGAACGCAGTCTTCACCCTCCGGAAGCAACTCGGCAATTCCAGAAGCCTGGCGCAGCTCATCAGTGATGTTGAAGTATGCTCGAAATATCGCATATCCGCTGTTGACCTTGCTTTCCGTCAGGTTGAGCAACTGGTCGCGCGCAATTGACTTTGGGCCGTCACAAGCCAAGACCACGTCACCAAGAATATTCTCGCGCGTATCGGTGACTACGCCCCTTTTCTCATCGGTGTCGAGGTATTTAAAGCGCATGTCGACACCAATCTCCAGAGCGTATTTGTACACAATCTCATGCATTTCGCCGCGGTGACCCGCGTAGACGTACTGAAACTCGGTACCCTGCGGCCACGGGTCCTTGTGCAGGAGCTCGTTGTCAGCATTGAAGAACTCGAGGTACTTGGCAGCGTTCACGCCCACCGCGGTGAGCGCGCGGCCAACCTTTCCTCCTCCCCACGATTCGAAGACCCGACCGGCATTTCGCACAAAGTCCAGCAAGTCACCGTGAGAGCTGGCACCGGGGTATGCTTCGACGAGGATTGGGTGCATGCCTCGAAGTTTACACTCAATTGCTGCTGTCAGACCGCAAAAGCCCGCTCCGACAATGACTACTCGCAGTTCGTCTGTGGATACCATTGTTGGAACGCCTGTAGGTCAAGTTTGCGAGGTGCGCTGTGTGAGAAGTGATGACAAGACTGAAGCTTGTGGAGAAATCAATGCGTATTGTTGCGTTGTGGTGTTTGAAGTACTCATTCGGAACCTTTTTTATCTCAGTCCTGAGGCGATGTTTCGCATCTCGCTGCTTCGGAGCCGATTCTTCCATCGCTATGCCCGCGTTATCGTGCGGACCTTGCTATGCACTTACACACTAGACATGTTTTCCCTGTCGAATCAATGGGTCACTGCGCATCCGGATACACTCGCCCTGATTAAGCTCCGGTTCCTGGGGTTGCATTAACCCTGGTCATCGGTCATCTGGTGTTATCAGAACGTTTCTCATAGGCTGTGATTTTCCGGCGCGATACCCGATCCAGTGGGGAGAAGCATACGACCGTCAACAACAGAATACAGATTGGAGATAGCAGTTGAGCTTGTCAAACCGCTGTACAGCACAACATTGTCTTTCCGAGCTTGGGGTCGGAATTGGCAGCCCTGATGTAAGCATTTGTTACAAAACAGGAGTAGACGCACGATCTTCATTGCAACACTTTGCGCAATAAAGCAGCAAGGCGTACAGGTTGCAGTTTGTGTCGTGAAATCGAAAGTATTCTAAACAACCATAGTAGCTCAGACAACAGTCTTGACTACGAGACTGGGACAACGATGTCGAAAATCAGCCACTCAGACGAAACGGATGCCGCTCTCAGCGAGAAGAAATCTCAAATCAACGACGATAATATCCAACTTCAGCAACTTGGCCTAGAGCCGTCAGAGCTCCGCCGCAATTTCAACATTTGGTCGCTCGCATTCATGTCGTTCTGCTCCAGTATCACCTGGGAGGCAATCTCGTCCACAATGGCCCAGGGTCTGATGTCAGGAGGCAATTCAAGTTTGGTATGGGGCTTCGTGGCAAGCAGCCTCGGTGCTCTCCTGACTGTCCTTTGCATCGCAGAGTACTCCAGCATGATTCCGACGGCAGGCGGCTAATACCATTACGTGGCCGAGCTCTCGCCACCAAAGTTCCAAAGAATCCTTTCGTGGTATGCAGGCTGGATGACAATGCTTGGCTGGATTCTATGCGCACTTGCTGGCATCTTTGCTACCGCAATGCAGATCCAAGCGTGGGCAATTCTGTTCATTCCCGATTACACATACGAGCGATGGCACACTGCACTTGTGAGTTTGATCCTATCATAGGTCTCCAGTTCGTCTATACGAGTGACCTCAGTTCGCTAATTGCAAGCGCTTTTTGGCAGATCGTCATCGGCCTCGCGACATTCTACACATTATTTGCAGTTTTTGAGGTCAAGATGCTACACCGCCTGCTGTTTGTCGCAATGTTCGTGCACATTGTCGGCTATTTCGCCACAGTCATCTACCTCTTGGTTCGTGTTAATCCAAAGAACACTGCTGAGTACGTGTTTACGGACTCCACAAGCTTGAGCGGTTGGGAAAGTCCCGGAGTAAGTCGAATTCCTCGGATCTTCTTGCTCCAGAGTATCGCAAACTTACTGACAAGTCTTTAAAGATTAGCTGGCTTATCGGACTTCTCACCTCTGCAATTGGTTTTGTAAGCTGGGATAGTCCGTTGCACATGTCCGAGGAAATGAAGCATGCGTCGCGTGACCTGCCACGAAGCTGTAAGACCCACTTAACAACGCAGCAAAAGCACGATGATTGAACTTGCTAACATGCTCATGATCATCCAGTAATCATCAACATAGTGTGCAGTGCCGTTCTTACATTTCCATGGATTATTGGAGTTGTGTTTTGCATCACAGACGTCTCCGGGGTTCTAAGCGGCCCTACAGGCACGATCAGCTTCATGGCACAACTTTATTACAACGTGTCTGGTGGCAACAAAGCGGTAACGGTTGGCATGACCCTTTACCTACCTCTGATGGGCTTTCTTGGAGTGGGGCCCAGCATCATGACGGCCACATCTCGTGTGATCTGGTCCTTCGCTCGCGATGGAGGCCTCCCTCAGTCCGTTTCCAAGGTCAACAGCCGCACAAAGACCCCGGTCCTTTCGCTTTTGATTACTTGGGCTATTGTATGTCTTCTGAGTCTCATCTACGTCGGCAACGCAACGGCATACTACGGACTTTCCAGCGCCTGCACCGTTACGCTCATTATCTCGTACGCTATGCCCATATGCATGGCCGTATTGTTCGGATTCAAGCATCGTAGCTTACCAAAGGGGCCCTTTTCATTGGGAAAATACCATCGGCTCGTCGCCACAGTGGCTCTAGCTTGGTCCCTCTGCCTCATCATCATGATGTGCTTCCCTACGTATAAGCCTGTCACCACAGCGAACATGAATTACGCTTCAGTGGTGGTATGCGGTGGTCTCGCAGCGGCGACGATCTCCTGGACTGCATACGGCAGGTACAGGTATCATGGCCTGATGCAAACGATAGAAGGTCGAGCGGAAAGATAGGACAATGCATTTGGATTTTGCAGTGTATCCAAAGTTTTTGTCTTATTCAAATATACAACTATCTATGATTTATTATCAAATATTGACTTCGGTCTCCTTTTGGTTGCATAAATCAGCTTTGGCAGGCGTCCGATCCTCGCATCATAGCGGAAAGGCTCAGTAACGTGAACAAGTTAGCCGGGCATACCTTCATGTTATCGACGAGTGCTGGGAAATACATAGTAATAAAACGAGAAGTCCTCAGAATATGTGTTTGATAGGTAACAGAAAGTATCTACGCCTACTTGATGCTTGATTCTGATTCAAAGTCGTTATATGGATCGGACTTTGATGACTACGGTTCCAACTACGTTATCGGGTTGCGCTACAAGATTGATCCGATCTTTTGCCAGATAGCCAAGCAAGAAATGTCTTAAAGCCTTCAAACTTTCGTAGAATTGATGCCGTTGACGTTCTTTTCGCCGTTTCCCTTCAGATTCTTGCGCTGAAGCTGAATGATCTTGTGAGCCGCTTCCATACCTGCTTGCACAGCACCATCGATCCAACCCCGCCAGCCCTCGGAATAATCCCCGCTAGCGAACAAGATATTTCCATGCGGCTTTTGAAGGGCAGCAACATATTTCTGCGTGAACTCCGGTGCCATATAGCACCAGGTACCCTTGGCAAACTCGTCATTGACCCAGTCATGGGCAACCTAAGAACGTACATGTTAGACAATGCTTTCAACAGAAGTAGGGTGAAGACATACTATGCGATGGATGCCGACTTCGGCTCTGTTTGCTTCAGGGAGCAGGTGCAGAATTCCCTTTTTTACCTGGTCTATATCTGATAGGGGTATGCCACCAGACGAGGACGGATCGGGACCAAAGGCAACCAGGTGAGAATTATTGGCCGGTGTTAGATGATCGCCCAGAGCGCATACAAAACCTCTTCCAGGAGAAGCGAAGGATGTCCATGATTTGTGGTCGGGACCATCAAGGTCTACGTGCAGCTTGTTGCACAAGTTGACTTGACCCTGACGGCTGGCCTCAACTTTCGCCGTTGGAAGCGCTGGCGAGAATTCGATATCGGCCAACACGTTCAGCGGAACAGTTGCAATAACCGACTTGGTTTTCCACGATTGGCCGTTTTTGGAAAACACTGTGACATACTCACCCGTGTCCACTACCTTACTGACTGCTGAGTTGAAGCTGTATGATAGATTTCCAGACGAGACCGCATGCTCAAAAATTCGTCTGTGTAAAGTGCCATTACCGCTGCGCAGTCTGGTGTGCAGAGCAATGTCGTTCAGGCCAGTCGGATTGTGGGAACCCAATACCCACCATCGAAGGGCGTTGAGGAGACCCATCTTGTCGAGGGAAGTCCCACCCATCTGCTTCAGCAGTGCCTCGAGCATCGATCTCTCTTCAAGGCTGAGCCGATCTTGGATTTGATTGAGCCGGTCCTGGCAGGACATTTTGTCCCACTCTTCCGATAGCTCGGGCGACTGTTTTGTTCCAAATGGGAACTTCCAGTGTTGTCGAAGGTCGTCGCCATCTACATCACAAAACATCCGCCACACGCGTCCAAACATGTCGGCCTGGTGAAAGGTTAGCATTGAGCCTCTTGGCCTATGACATCTGTGGCTGATGAGATAGACTAGCCTCTTCGTCATGGGTCATGTTGCGTTGGGCATTGGGGGTCGTTAGGGTAAAATAGTCCTCTTTGCTGCCGGACTGCTGTGTGACAAGCCAGTCGTCCTGGAGCCCATACAGAGAGACTTCGCGATAGATATGGGGCATGTGCCAATGTATCCACGTGCCACCCATCTCGTAATTGAAGCCATCAATGGTTGCATGCCACGTACGTCCGCCAAGTCGATCGCGGGCTTCTACCAAAAGAGTTTTCTTTCCTGGACGGTTTATAAGCGCATGTCATAGTGGAAGAGGTCTACAGTGCGCACCTTGCGTAGCCAAGTCTCGAGCTGCCACCAAGCCTGCATAACCAGCACCAATTACAATGACGTCGTACGCGAGATTGCCATCGGACAAGGGCGAGGTATACACAGGCGGCTCAACAATTCCAATGGTGGGCAAGCCGCGGCGCAAGCCTCCGCTGGGTGTCCAGGTGAAACCATCTCTAGAGTCTACCATTTTGAGCAATACGGAAAGATACGTATCAAGTTTCGAAAATGATTAGTCAAAGATACAGGGTTTTCGCTTCTACTTCTTGACAAGTATTTTGGGACTACTAACATTTATCTTGCTGTTTCAATTCATTATCCGCCAAATGAACGATGTACCAGCAGCAAACATGTACGATTCTCAAACGGAGCAGGAGACGTCATACTCTGCCACATCAACGATTGGACACGAATTGGCCGGGAGCAGGAACCTATGAGCACACATGCCGAGCTGTTCACTGACGAAGCCTCATGGCAATGTACAGACCTACTGAAGAACTGCTCCGGAAAATTAGCACCAATAAGATTAGTCGGATAGGAGTCTGCGATGTAGCCACTTCCGGCTCCCGCACTAGTAAGGGCCGGTGGGCAGAGAGTGAGACTGACTAGGGTAAGAGGGGTCCGGCTGGGATCTGTGCCTGGGTATCCCTGCTTGAGTCCTACAGTGAGCCTCGTTACTTGCAGCTTGTACATCATTGTACCCGTTCATGCTCTGCCGACTCGCCCGACATCGTTTTGTGTACTGTACCCAGGCATCTGAAAGCTGGACACTCTGAATTGTGCCGCGTTGGTCACTCCTTTCATCGCCCGATAGCCACCAAGTGGCCGTTCTTGATTCCCCAGCCTCATCTGACGCTCCGGGTAAGCCATTCGTCGACGGAGACATAAGCTCAGTTCACGATGCCCGAAGCCTCTATGGATCCTGGCTACGGCAGTCTGAGAAGAAACGTCACACTTGCTTGTGACTATTGCCGCAAGAAACGAGTAAGTTTGTTTTACTGATGGTCCCCGCCTCGACTGGGTGCAACGGGACTCCTGATTTTCCAATTACATAGGTCAAGTGCACTGGTACTGCTCCATGCAAGCTCTGTGCCGAAAATCGTCATCCGTGTCACTTTGATGATAGGAACCGCAATCGCCGCGGACCGCGGCCACGAGCCAACAGCAGTCGGCCTTCCCGGATTTGCCTGATTGCGCCCGCGCCCTCGAGACCTTCTGACCGGCACGTCGACCAGATAAGCTCATTCTCTGGCGGCGATTACCTTCCTTCGTCTCCTAATGTAGCAAGCTCCATTAAGAACGTTGCTACCAATGATCTAGACGATGACGACCCTGATTCCGAAGAAGATGTCTTTCCCCCAGCGACTGAGTGGCGAGGCGGACTTGTGTCCGTGTTGATGGATCCCAGCACTACGGATTCCTTGTATGTATCAGTCATGCCCTCGGCTACTCTTCAAGAACAAGGGCTAAGGTCAAGCGCCGAGACGCATCTAGTTGGAATACGGTAGACCCGGACGTTTGTGCGCATCTCGTGGAGTTATTCTACTGTCGATCAAGCTCGCTATTAGGACTCATAGTACCCGCAGATGAACTCATCGAGACAATTTGCGCGGGCACCTGCACGCGCAGCTTACTGCTAGCCATTTGTGCTTACAGTGTTCGCTTCTCTATCCATAAAGCTGTCAAGGAACCTTCAGCATCCAAGCTTGCAAAGGACTTTGAACGGAGCGCAAGATATCAGGTCGATCTAAGCAGTGCTCCTGGAAGTGAACCGTCAACCGCATCCACCTATTGCGTGCTCATTGAGTATAGCATAGGTCTCGGTGATGGGCGACAGGCGTGGATGGACTTGGGCAAGTGTCTTGGAACTGTGAGCCTTTCTCGGTAACCCGACTAACCCAAAGCATAGCACTGGCTAAGAGTATGGTACAACTGGCTCTATTAAACGAGGAGGTCAACCCGAGAAAGCTCGAACTATTACATCGAGTCCATAAATATCTCGAAATCTCGGAAATGATGATAACTTTCAGCCATTCCTCCTTGCAGCCACGCTGTCCGACATGGAATGACCAGAGCGATCAAGAACCCAATTGTGACACCAGCATCAATCAATTCTTCACGCAGCTGTTGGAACTTCTCCAGTTATATGCTCGCATCCAGCTCTATTGCTCGTCAGGGTTCTCCAAGCAAAATCCACCGCCCTGGAGCCCGCATTCAACATTCAGGACTTACCAGGTGGAGTTAGAACAATTGGTACTACAACGGCTGGAACGTCTCCATCCCGGGTCATCCGAGGACGAGCATCTGCCACGGGAACAGCGCACCCAGAGTGCAATGTGTTCCCTGATTTGGCACTGCTGTGTTATCTGCTTGAACCGAAACTTTCTTCCAATTCCAAAGAGAACTGGGCCTGACCACGAAAATTCGGAAGCATCTTCCAGACAACTAAAATTTCCAGTTGCACCACAGCTTTTTGTTTAGGAGATACTGCATCGCTGTCAGGCAAGCGCAGTAGCCATCTGCACCATCTGCAAAGAATTGGTGTGGCAAGGAGACTTCTTTCGGGTGAGTTATATTTCAAGTTGAACTTTGCTGTCGTTTTGCTTCCTTATTAACATGCCTTAACAGAACATTCATGTAATTGGGTATGCATGTATGCAGAGTGCAATTGTCCTGGTCAATTATCTTCACCGTGTCTCAAGGCCCCATAGTCCTTGGATAGCAGACACCCTGAAGTTCATTTTCGTCGCTTTAGGGGCTGCGAGCAGTTTTTATACTCCCGCGAATGACTGGGTATGTTGAATTACCTGTCACTATGACCCCGCAAGCGCCCTGGAGCTAAATTAAAACCTAATCTGATCTAGACTAAAGTCTTGATCTGGGTCCACGATATCAATGTTTCCCTGAAAAACTTCAGTGGCTCCCCTGTTGAAGATGTTTTCTCAACCTATTTCAGTAGATATGTCGATATTAAGGAGCCGGAGTGGGTGCCGCTTATCTCGAGTAGCGTGTCAAACGCTCAAGGAAGAGTTCGTGAGGACGTCTCAAGCGGCCAAGGAAATCATCAATCGCATTCTGATAAAGCTCGGATTGAACCCGGTCACGGCTCTCAATGTAAGGAAAATTGGCTTCACAGTTATGCCCGTCATCTTTCGGAGGATATAGAGCCCCACAGGCAGGAGTCCACCCGCTCAGACACAGACGATGGCGATGCATTGGAATTTCACGGTGGAAAGAATACCGGCGATCCCTTTGGGTTGGTGGGAGGCTCATTAGAGTCATCTGAAGAAATTCTGCCGTCTATGTCTCAGACGAGTATGATGAGCCAAAGTATGGATGCAGGAAAAGGCTTCCTCGTTGATCCGATAGGTCTTGTTGATTCGCTTACAGACCCTTTCGCTTTTGCCGACCTCTCTGGATACCAGGAAGATTTTGACTCCCGACTGCTAAGACAGCTCATGACAGGGAGCGACAGTCTATGGGCGGAGATGAACATTGGCCTTGACTGTGGCAAAAATCCCTTTATGTAGTCATGCTAGGCTCAATCCTAATTTGAGATATCGTCGACATGCAAAGAATTTCCTCATGAAAAGCCGCATAGGTGTTACGGTCAGCTATCCGACAGTAGGGTCTGCTAACAGAAGCTGGGGATTGATACGTTCTAACAGTACACTGGGTCGTGGTCGTAGGTCGTAGTTCGTAGGCTGTAGTAGATCGGGTCTTCAGAGGCCAAGGTGATCAGTCTTAGACTCAACAAGTGATTCGCAGTGAAGGTAAGCTGAGAGTATCCGTGAGGATGAATACTAAGTTGATTGCTGAAGAGCTATGGAAGTCTGACCATGAGCCAGGCTCAGGGTCATTATATATAAGTCTAATTCTGAACATGTTCCTTTGTACCTTGGGTCGATCTGGATCATTCCGATCCAGAATGATCGTTTGGCCCCCAAGTCGTGTTGGATCATATTGATCCAATATGATCGTTATCTTATCATCACGTGACTTGGACCATAGTTCTTCCGTTACCGAGTGAGTTCCTGTTGTTCCCGTGATCCTGCAGTACAAATGTCCTGTCCTAGCCGCCCGACGCCCAAGTGGGTCGGTCAACTGTTATCCATGCATAACGGGTCGTAACAATAGGGTGAGGTGATTTGAGACTCGGATGAGATCGGCGGGCATTGACCATGAACGGGTATGGCCCAAGTCAGATGCGAGAGAGGTAGTTAGTCCAGCTCCATTCTATCAGCTATGCAATATATCCGGGATGGTCACCGAAGGCTCTGATTGGACACAGGCAAGCAGACAAGGGTTTCCGCTGGCGCAAGTGATAACACGCGGGGTATCCGGCTACAGTCAATGCGCACGAGGAGGGCTATGAAGATAACATAACGAATATTGAGATAGAGTAGTTAGGAAGGAATCGGGAACCACAAAAGAAGATAACATACCTGCGGGGAAGTGAAGGTTGCTCGGAACTACGACATTATCTGATTCCGTTTCCCGTCCACAGGTTCATGCTTGCCACCTCAACATGTCAGCTCTCGAGCTAGTCCACGACATTTCAGCATCCCCACCCATCATCAATCACACATCTAAGCGGCCCATTCTTTGCTGGCACTGGAAGCTTCACAAGCAAACATTCATCGGCAGGCTCCAGGCAGTGCTCTATAATCTTCCTTTCCAATGGCGGATGAGCGGAATCTCCCTCCAACAACATTACAAAACGATAGTGGTGCCTGTTGGACATGTTTGAAGCAGAAACGCATATGCGATCTCAGCTTGCCGCGTAGGTGGTTTCCTCACCGTTGACACATCACAATCATACCAACTCACCCTCTTCACGAACCTAGTGGATTGAACGCCGATCGAGTGCTAACATCACCGTTGTGCTCCGTTCTAGGATGCAGGAATTGCGCCGAAAGGGGAATAAGATGTCACGGCTACGGCATCAGGCCGCGATGGCCCGCAGATTTCATTCGCCGAAAGAAGAGACCACGACGAACATCTGATGGATCCTCGGATACGCGAGGGTTTCCGAGCATGAACTATGATACTCGTCCGACATTACCCCAAAATCAATTCTGCGTGCCTCAGGCTTTGTCATCGCTGGGGCTTCCGTCACAGGATAGTTATTTCATGCAGCATTTTATGAGTATGTGTGAATACCTGAGTTCTTATCTATCCCCATCAAGGCTCGCTCGCATGTTCTTGATATGCTGATATATTCGTTTAGAAAACCTCGCTCGCGTCGCGCTAGCTATCGATTACAATGAGAACGGATATCGCTCTCTGTTATCACTTGCACTTCATGATCCCGGTCTAATGAGTGCTGCACTCGCTGTCGCATCCTCACATCACAGCCGTTGGCAGCAAATAAGTGACAAAGATTCTCGCCGATACCTGAGGGCCGCCGCCGCAGCCCTCAAGGGCCGTTTCGGAAATTTGAGTGACCTGAACAGCCCCGTCACTCTCACCATGATGCTGCTTTTAGTGTCGTTTGAGGTAATCAAAAAGATTTGATCACTATCCCCGTCACATGAATTACGATTATTCGCTGACTTGTCTAAACCTGCCAGGTGTTCTCAGGGACTCCGCGATGGAGAGGACATTTCGAAGCCATCCGGGGGTGGATTCGCTCTCGAGGAGATCACTCTGACTTAGACCCGTTCCTAAAGACCTGGGTGTGTCTCATAGAAACCCAGTGTGCTTTGAATGTGGGATTACCAGTTATGCAAGAGGTTGAGTCGTGGATTGATTTATGCCCAAATTCCTCAGATGTAGCGCAAAGCGACTCGATCGACGCGTTGTTCGGATGCTCCTCCAGGTTACCCAAGCTGATGGTAAGTCATTTAGACTCCTGAATCAAAGCTCAGGCGCAGCTAATTGAGGTGATAGTGCGCCGCTTCGCAACTACAGAAGGCCTCCTACGATGCTGAAATCCCCCTCGAGGAGATACACAGGCGGTCTGAGAACCTCCAAAAGGCAATTGAAGCTACCAAGATGGAGGATAACTCGAATCCAGTCATTTCAATCCTGTGCGATGGTGCCCGAGAAGAGTACTCGGCCATGGTGGGATTGGAGCAAGAAGAGCTGCGCCGGCGGATGATCGCCACCGCCGAAATATTCAGGCACACGTCACACCTATATGTTTATCGAATTACTCATGGCGTCGAAGAACCACTCACGTCGGATATAGAGGAGTCTCTTCAGAGAGCACTCCAACTTTTGACGCAGGTTCCAGACGCCCTTGGCCCAGGAGCTAACCTAGGTTGGTGTTTGGTAGTGCTTGGAGCAGAGCTTGATCTCCTAGATCGACTATATTCGTTCCAGATGGCATAGCATGCACCTACTTGGAATTTACAATACCAAGTCTGGCGAAAAGATACTCGAGGCGGTATGGAATCACCGAGATCTCGTCCGTAGTGGTCTTGCCACACCAGCTAGATGGCAAGATATTATGAAGGACATGGGGGAACATCAAATCCTGGTCTGACTTTTTCAATGCCAGCTTTCGTGTTAACCAAAACAATTGAGCTGTCCAATCTTGTACTACTTTGCTACCAAACGATGCACCATGAGCCGTATGGTGTTTCCCCCATTCGCGTGAATCTGCATGCTTAGGATCAAACTGGCCAACTCTCCATCTGGGGAAACATGGCAAAGCTTCTAACCTGTGCATGGAATTGTATAACCTGTGACACATCCTCATACTGTTGTTTGTTTGTTTATCTCAAGTTTGATTACCTGAGGTGAAGCTACATACGCAGCTGCGGTTGATGTAGCTGACCTACAATTTGGAAGTCTCAGGAATGTTGAAGTATTTCACCGTCTTAGAGTTTAGCCAACCATCAAGGCTCTCCTCGCCCAAATCTCTCCCAAATCCTGACTGCTTAACACCTCCAAATGGAGTGTTGGCATGCAACATTCCCCAGCAGTTAATGGTAACCTGCCCGGACTCAATGGCCGCTGAAACCCGCTGAGCTATGTTTACATTGTTTGTAAACACCGCAGCACTCAAGCCATAATCGGTATCATTGGCCTTTTGTATTGCCTCCTGTTCGGTGGAGAACTTGGCGATGCTCTGAAGCCCGAATCAGCTTTTGTGTCGTTTCTCCAGCTTATGGGCTTGGATAAAGTACTTACCGGAACTGGTCCGAAAATCTCCTCCTTCATGATCGCCGCAGATTCAGGTACATCAGCAAAAGCGGTGTTGGGAACAAAGTAGCCTTTGTGGTCGAGCTTCTCCCCCCCATGAAGTAGCCTCGTTCCATCGTTCTTGGCTCCTTCGATGTAGCTGAAGATTTTCTTTTGCTGGGATGCATTGATGACTGGACCTTTGGTTGTCTCCTGAAGAACAGGATCGCCGTGTACGGCCTTGTTGATTCGTTCAGTAAATGCTTGTAGAAACTTGTCGTAAATAGTATCTTGCACATATATTCGGGATCCAGAGGCACAAATCTGACCATTGTTGGTTGTGCTGCCTAATGATGTCCAGAAGAGAGCATTGTCCCAGTCCGCATCGGAGAAAACAATGGACGGGCCCTTACCGCCAAGCTCGAGTGTGACTTTCTTGAGGTTGGACTTGGCGGCGGATAGGAGGACGTGTCGGCCGACGGCTGTACTTCCAGTGAAGGATACTTTCTTCACCTTTTGGTGTGCCGATAGCGCTGCTCCTGCAATGGCACCCTCGCCGCACAGAATGTTGATGACGCCAGCGGGGAAGCCTGCCTCCTTGACCAGGCTAGCAAGCTTCTGTCCCCATAGTGGCGCGGCCTCAGGGGTCTTAATGATGAGAGTATTACCTGCGGCTATGGCGGGTCCCAGCTTCCATGAAGTAATCATGCTGAATGGCAGAGAATCCGCGTCAGCTTGCTTCAAAATATCAGACAGAATACCCAGGACTTACAGAGGACAATTCCATGGCACAATGGCTGCGCACACCCCAATGGGCTCTCGAAGAGTATAAGCCGTGCCCTCAGGTATTTGCAAAAGCTTTCCATCGATCTTGTCAGTCCAACCAGCAAAATAACGAAGAGTAGACACAGCATTGGGCACGTGCAAGCCTTTCGAGTCGTTGAAAAGGATTCCGGCATCCAGGGCTTCAAGAAGGGCCAGCTCGTCGGCGTGCTGCTCAATCAGGTCTGCCAGCCTGTGTAGAAGCTTTGCGCGCACTGGAGGAAGGGTCGTTTTCCAACCTCCATAGAAGGCGGCTTCGGCAGCTTGCACAGCCAAGTCTACATCTGCCCCCTGAGCAGCGGACAGTGTTGCTAGCTTCTCCAAGTTGAAGGGGCTCTCGATGTCTAATGTTTCGCCCGCCGTGGCTTCGACGAACTCGTTGTTGATAAACAGTCCGCTCTCGACTAATTGCCATCTTAATGTAAGCCCAGTTTTTCAATGCTGTGAGAATCCACATGATAACGTACTTGAAGTGGCCAGACCATTTCCGGCCTTCAATGTTATGACAGTCATGTTGTGGAGAATGAACAGCGCCGTTGGAATCGAGGAGTTCTATACCTGAAGAGAGGCAATACTGCTTCCTGTAGGAGGAGCACTTGGCTAAATATATAATAAGCTAGACTGCGAAGGTGAAAGATAGTTAGTGTTGCGAATGAGGGGCTGTCCTTGCCTAATGTGAGATGTCACTTTTAGCAAGCAAAGAATCCCCTCTTCTAGGGATTACCCTCGACGGAACGAGATGCAAGCTCGGAACTTAATTGTCTGGTGTCATTCCGACGGGACATGGGTTCGGAATTCCTCGGCCAGTTCCGCGGACAGGATAATCCCTGTACTTAGTCAAGCGAATTACGAGAAAATCCGGGGAAATCGCAACCCCATTTCTTTGATTTACTCCGTACCATGATGGCCTAACACCGCCAGATGCCGTATGTCCGTACCACTCGTTTCTTTGAATTTGTGGGTACGGCGCAGCCCGCCCGTGAAAAGACTAAGAAAATTCCAGTTCGTGGGCACACTTGGGAAACACTATATAGGCACTTTGACCCATGCTCTACTAGTCAACTTCGTCAACGAAAGCAGTGATTAGCCAATCAAGAGCTACATGAAGCCAGCATATTGATCACCCGGAACTGCAAGTCTGGTCTCATCGAACTTTGCAATTCGCTGAGAAACATTGTCGATCAACGGACACAATATTTGATTCGCTGTGCCCCACATACTCTTATACTGGCGTCATGCAGCACTTTATGGGATGGATATCGTTTCTGCCGGCAAGAACACCCTCGCGCAAAGTCTAATCGCTGGCCGCGCATACCGGCGGAACAGCAACGGCGCCGGCTCCACGTAACGGGGCCGATCGCATCGGTGCCGAACGCCACTTGTTCTTGTGTTACACCGGACCTTTTCCCGGGCCTGCTTAAGGCGCATCGCAAGCTTCCAACCGCCTCACTCGTGAAGAATCAACAATGCCGCAGGATATTTCCCTCGATCAATGCTATAAAACTTTTGAAATAGACGATGCAGCACCTTATGCGTATGGTCTAATGTTCCTTCGACTCTACAAGTATAACAAGCTAACAGAGTGCTCTTACTGGCCAAATGCTTTAAGCATTCAATCACCGGTACAGGAGGCATCATTTTCGGTTTTGTTGCCCAGTTTTGAAGTGTTCTAGAAGAAGAAAATCCTTTCTAAAAGAATTCAACGTATCAACAAACATGCTGCCATTTGGCCTCATAACCAAGGAAGACCATCAGAGAAACCAAAAATATCTGCTCTAGGCCCCACAATTTGACGACGAATCACTCACTGTGAGCATTTCCCAGCCACCAGCTTGGTCCCAGTTCATCCCACCGGAAGCTCAATAACTCTAGCACACAACATCACCATATTTTCGCTAAATTGTAGTACTAAGGATGGGTACAGCCAGGGCCAACCGCCCTTCCAGCAGCCAATGGCTGGATAGGAACGGATCTGATAAGATTACAAGAGCATGTTCTGGCCACAGACATGTTTATGCTTGAAGGATCTCCCTGCTTGGTGGCAACTTATCCCATCGGCTGCTTAATGAACGCCGCTAGTTCTCTCTAAATTGGGGCCCCGAATGGGTACGGCCAAGACGGGAACGGCTTTTTAGCCGTCAATTGCCACGACGGGAACAGATCTGATAAGATTATGGAAACAAGCCTCGGCAATGATTGCCAGGCCATGACTTGAGATCAAGTGATGTCAAGTCTTTGAGGGATTTTTGACTTGCAACCCGACTCTTACGATTCCCTGTTCCCTACACGGTTGATCTAGGAGGAAGCATAAAAGTCATCTTCACCCCACGATGCCCAATCCTATTTTCACCCATAGTAACAATTCGACCCGATTACTCTAGTCACGACCACTCGCTTATCCTCTAATTCAAAATGCAATTCCTCGCCACCGTCAGCCTTCTCCTTGTCGCCGTTGCCCAGGTCGCTGCGGCCCCTCCCCCAGCTCTGGAAGGTCGGGATTATGCCCTTTGCTGCTATGTAAGTTCACCCTCTGGGCTTAAAAGAGAAAAGTCTGACTAGTTGATAGCTCACTTGCAAGGACGACCCGGCTTGCAAATGATTGAGGACGCTGTTGCTGAAATGCGATGTCTGGGAAAAGCTATCGGGAAACACTCACCAGCTTGTTTTGAAACCGAGCAGAGACTACGAACATTTATCACGCTTCTTATCCAATCAGCATGATTCTCATGTCGTGGATATAGTAAATACAATCACAAAATATTTCGGCCATGTGCTTTTACGAGACACGTTGCCTCTCCGTTCTGATGCACCTCAACGTGTTTATGCAAATTTTGAGCGGTTGCCGAGGGAAGCTTCCGGCCTCTATCACTAGGGATTTTGTCTCTAAGAAGAATTTCTTCAAGAGTTGATTTGAATAGGCAAAGAACACCAAATATATCATTGGGTAGGATAAAATGCCCGGACTCAATCATTAAACCCGAGCTCTTGAAACTCGGATCCGAAGGCCTTCGGATCGAGCAGATGCTAGAGCTACACCTTCAGCAGGGAAATTAGTCCATTAGTGCTTCCAAGGAAACCTTTATTGCAGTAGATTAGACACAGGTAACATGGAATCATCTAGTGAAAACATTTAAACAAATGCACACTGTCAGGGTCTAGCTTCAATCACACCAAACGCCTTTAAATGTGTGTCTTCGCACTAAGCTTGCTCCACAATGCGCAGCGACCTAATTCCTCTTCATGCAAATATTCCATCGTCGTTGAGTTTGTTTGCAGCTTGAGTCTTTCTCCATACCCGTATGGCTTCCAAAAAGGTGCACCCACGGCTTTTGCGGCATTCGGATTGCCACCAGTCCTGGCGAAGCTAAGCCAGTAAGACTGGACAACTCCAACCATCCCATGATTGACGCCACCGACATCGTAGCTATTAGCGCCCGGCACCGCAACCGACTGCGGTGCGTATTCTGGTCCCCAAACAGCCTGCAACTCCCAGGTATGCGGAACAATGAACCCCGCTGCAACTTCGACTGGGTCTAGAACGTGATCGCGTAGGAGGTAAACATCAACCCCCGCTCGGCTCAGTCCAGCAGCAAACCCTGACGCAACGCAGTTGAAAGCCATGTCGCCAAACATCTGGGACAACTGGTAGAACCTGGGGGGCTTTGTCACGTTGACACCAGGAAAGGTGCTTGGCACGTAGGAATACTGAGCATTGGCTTGTGCCAGATCGTCCTCTGTTAGATCGGGAAACTGTGTCTTGAGGAAGTTATTGACGTCTTGCGTGGTGTTGGCTTGGGTTGCGAAGATGGTTCCCTCGGTGCTGGATGAGCCCAGGATCAGCGGCCGGTGTTTGGCGAAACTGGCGTTGCGAAGCATCTCAGACGGTGTGCCTGTGAGCAGGTGCCCGTCGATGACTGGGCCGTAAGGGAACAGAGGAATGTTCGCCTGTCCGGGAACCGGGAAGCCACGGTTCGCCTGTTGAATCGTGTCTGATTCGAGCGACCTCAAGCACGCAACATCGCTGCAGTTGGTGGCATTGAGGAGATGGTCGTACTGGTACTGGATTTCTTCGACTTTGTGGACAGAGGGAAGCCATACGGCTGGTGCAATTCCAGCGCGCCATTTGACGTTGTCGTTTTCAGGAAGATGTCCACCGTAGGCGAGAGTGTGCAGAAGCACGCTCCCTGATCCAGCCGAGGTTGCAAAGAGGGTGACGTTGTTGGGGTCGCCGCCGAATTTTCCGATGTGCTGTTCGACCCATTTCATAGCGGCGCGCTGGTCGTGGAGGCCAATGTTGAGACTTCCTTCTTTTTGAAGCTCTTCGCTGGCAAGGAATCCGTGAGGGCCGACGCGGTAGTTAAAGCTGACAATGACAACACCATTGTTACTAGCTTCAACCAGCCCTGTGCCGTTATAGTTCTCATTCAGCAGCTGCACGAATCCTCCGCCAGAAATCCAGACCATGACCGGAAGGCTTTGTGCCGGTGTGCTATTGACATGCGCCGGGTAGTAGACATCGACGAACAAACAATCTTCCGATATATCTTGTCCTGGCGGTGGGGTGAACGCTAGGCCATCGACTGGCAGGCAAAGTGATCCGTGCTGGTTGGTGTCAGTCTAAGCATTCGCCAGGGTATTGTGCAGTTCTTACCGATTTCGCTGATACAATGCCATGTTCCTGAATGACCTCTTGTGGAAGCTTGAATCGGTTCTGTCCCACAGGAGGCGCGGCAAATCTCATTCCGAGAAATTGGTTGACGCCGTTGGACAGCGCGGTGCCCTCGTATGTCGCGTAGCCCAAGTCAACGCGTGGGTTTTCAGTGTCGTTGCAAGCAGCTAGAGCCACAGTAAGGCAGCTCAGCCATGCTGGTGATGTGTTGTAAAGCTTCATAGCGTATAGCAGTACGGTTTCGTGGGTAGTTGGTTTGCGCTATAATGTCAAAGAGATGCAATGACCAGAAGCCATAGTAATAATTCAGTTTTAAGATGTAAGTCCTCATGTCTAAATACTCTGCCAAGGTACTAATCAGGTTACTGACAGTTAGCCTGGCCATTAGCGTGATTTGTAACAACAGACAACAAATGCTTGATTACATCTCATGCTCTGAACACCATCATTTACGACTATGATTCTCGGTATCGTACGGAATTAACGTGGACTAATCTGACAGAGGATAGAACCCTGAATGAAAGCTGCACTTTGCACCAAACTGGACGGAGATTAGGTTTCCCTAATTTGGCTAGATCTGGAGACCGTTGCGCTAGGTATTACTCAGATGATGTCAATTCGCTGTTGAGAACTGAAAGTGCATGCCATTTGGATGGATTTGTCATCGGCCCAAGTAATACTGATTGAATAAGGCACCGCGCGCTACGGGTTTAACTTTTGAATGGATGACCTCTGCCGGCGAAAGATTTCTACATTGGACGGAGGTCCCCATTCGAACTTTTGTGATGTAAAATAAGCGGCCCTCGGCACAGACTGGAGTTCAACATCCATAGCACTTGAGAGCCTGCGGACCCCGGCCATAACGGTCCGTCTCGCCAAGACCCGAGGACCGAGAAGTGGACAATCAAGCAACCTACCTTTCCGAGGACCGAAACCATTCAACAGCAGTTCTCTCTCACTTCACATAACGTATGTTTTATTTCCTAAGGGAATACTGAGTGCCAAAGCCTCTTTGGCTCAACCTTGGCTGTTGTCAGTTGAGTTCAGCTTACACCTGCACCCCAGCTTCGAGTGACATACTGCAATCTATCACGGTCACAAGCCAGTATACCAAAGGGAGTATTCCATCAACTGCGTTTTATTGAGAAAAGAGGTATGCACTTGAGGGGTTCTGTGGCGCAGTGACTACTTCCTGCGACTCGAAATGGTGACCGACGGTGAACTGCGAGACCAGCTCCGAGCGCCGAAGCTTCATTTCACGACACGAAATTGAAAACAATGAGCCTTGCTGATCTTGCCAATTCATTAAATATCAATGCATCGGAAGGCTCCAAGATACTATCAGCACTTCGACATGAAAGGCCAGACAGACCTAGTAAGTTGGAGTATCAAGCCGCCTCCGGCCCCGCCGATGGTTATGGTGTCTTCTGGTCTCGCACTCGCTTAACATGATCGCCAGCTTGCACATACTCGGGTGCCAAGAGGAACGGAGTCGGGCAGACTTTTGCTATCCACTGCGGTCCGCTCAAAGCAGTGAATCAGGCCAACCGACATGCGTTCGCGGGTTTTGCCTTCCTATAACATAAGTCGATTTCCATCATGATCCTCGGGATGGAAAGTCTTCACTCACTGCCCTTCATCCCTCGCACACCACACTCGCTTCTGTCCTCTGTGTCTCGCAAATACTCCACGCTCTTTCCAAGCCTCCATCAGCCGCCGAGATGGAAAAGGCTACGACAATCTTTTCGATGGCGGGATAAGCACTGTGCACTTGGGCCCTTTCTGGCTACATCGGAACAGAGTCATCCAGCAGCATCGCAGTCGCCCGGCAGGCAGCTATCCCTGATGTGGACATTCCGCAGTCGGTCGAAGGCATTTGGGACAGTCTCACGGGAAACAACAACTGCCTGGGATGCCACGTAAGTCCAAATACATACCTTTATTTCCATTGACTACCATGAAGCTACTCTCATGTCTTTTTAGGGAATTCTTCTCATCTTGAAGGCGCTCGCAAACTTTGGTGACGATACTTTCGTCGGCGCCCTGCAAAAGCTCTGTGGTGCCGCTTCCGTAAGTGCTCCTCAAGATCCACCACGGGTGTTCAGACTGAGAACGTATATAATAAGTCCGAAGATGAAGACGTCTGTAACGGCACTCTAGCTTTGGAAGGCCCTGTGATTGCCGCAAGTCTCCGCGACCTCACCCTGGGAAGCAAGACAGCTCAGGTCTTCTGCACAACCCTCCTCGGCCTCTGCGACTACCCTGAGGTTGAGCCGTACTCCGTCCCCATGCCCCCCAAGACTATCACCTCTCCTCTCCCGGCAAGCGTCTCCTCAAACGGAACAAAGTCCTCCCCTTTCAAGATCGCTCACTTCTCAGACATCCACATCGACCCTCTCTACGTCACCGGCTCCAACGCCAACTGCTCCAAGCCGATGTGCTGCAGGTAATCCCCAACGACTCTCCCCATATTGCCCTTGAAGACGATTATGACCGGACACGTCCAGACCGTACACCCCAGCCGACGAGCCCGGCAACAACGACTTCCCCGCCGGCCCCTTCGGCGACCACAACTGCGGCGCCCCCCGCGGCCTCGAGCAGAGCATGTACGCCGCCATCAACGCCCTCTCCCCCGACTTCGCCCTCTTCACCGGCGACATCGTCGACCACGCCATCTGGAACACCGCCGTCGCCCAGAACTCCGCCGAGATCAGCATGGCGTACCAGCACATGTCCGATGCGGGGCTGCAGGTCTACGGCACCGTCGGTAACCACGAGATGTCGCCCGCGAACGCCATCCCGCCGACACCTCGGCGCCGGCTCGCAGTGGCTGTACGATGTCGTCTCCGAGGCGTGGAGCAGGTGGATCGGGTCGCCTGCGGAGGCGAAGTCGGTTGGTGCGTAGTCGGTCAAGACACCCAGGAACGGGTTGAGGGTGATTTCGGTGTCGACGAACTTTTGGTACACGCTTAACTTTTGGCTGTATAAGGATGTGCAGAGGGATCCGAGTGACCACCTGAAATGGCTCGTCGGGGAGCTTGATGCAACGGAGAAAGCTGGCGAACGCGTGTTCCTGGTTGGGCATATGCCCATGGGCATTTCTGATGCGCTCCACGATGGACCGAACTACTTCGATCAGATTGTCAACCGGTACAAGTCAACCATCGCCGGTCTCTTCTTCGGTAAGTATCTCCCTTCTCACCCAAACGACATCGACGCTGACAATAACCCAGGACACACCCACCTCGACCACTTCCAATTCAGCTACTCCAACTACGCCAACCGCACCGCCTCCAACGCAGTCGCAACATCCTACATCGCCCCCTCCATGACCCCCCTATCCGGCATGCCAGCCTTCCGCATCTACACCATCGACCCCACCACCTTCGGCATCCTCGACATCGAGACCTACGTCGCTGACATGGCCGACCCGACGTGCCAAACCGCCGGGCCCGTGTGGAAACGCTCCTTCGCCGCTAAGGAGACCTTCGGCGCCCTCCTCGATACCCCCGTCGCCGCGGACGCGGGGCTGACCCCGGCGTCCTGGCATAACGTAACCGTCGCGCTGGAGAAAGACCCAGCTACGTTTGAGGCGTACTGGGCGCGCAGGACGCGCGGGTGGGACGTGCCGGCGTGTGACGACGCTTGCCGCAAGAGTGAGATTTGCCAGCTGCGTGCGGCGAGGAGCCAGGATAACTGCTTCGTGCCGACGCCCGATATGTCGTTTGGCATCAGGTCGGAGGGTGGAACGAGAAAGCCGGCGGAGTGTGATCGCTCGGTGGTTAGGGACACGATTGGATCGCTTGCTGTTCGCAAGGGCCTGGTTGAACTTCTCGAGGCGTTGCTGAAGGAGCACCAGACCCGAAAGTGAGGCTTCTCGGTTTGCAATGGCTTAGGATGGTGAGGCAACCTTGGCAAGCCAGAAGAACATGTTGATATTCAAGTCTGTAGGTTTCATCAGACAAAGCCATTCTAGAATTTGAGATCAAATCCTGCAACTGGATTCAAATAGATCCATCCATCAGATGTGTGCCCTCAAAACGTCCTCCTTTACTCCCCTTTCGGCTGCTTTCCCCGTCACCACTGCTTCCTCGACTGCTCCGCCATGGAAATATGCCCATTCCCTCCCCTGGCAAACGACTCCTCCCGCATCTGCCGCCGCAGGTGCTTGTTATACGCCGGTGTCTTCATGTACTCGGACCGCAGGCGCGCCGTCCAGCCCTTGCCGTCGTCGATGTAGCCCCACTGGTAGGGATCGCCGGACTTGCTGGAACAGGAACCCATGGTTTGTTTTGTGTTTCTTTTATAATCCTCGGGTAGGGGGAGTTGTAAAGTTTTGAGATTCGTTCTTGGTTGGTGATGGTCGTGAAGATAGCTGTGATGTCATCGTCAGTTTTGAACACGGCAATTTCGATAAATGGGGACGCACGTTTTGCGTGGTTGTAACGATGTTCACGGGATGTGCTTCAAAGATGCTTTCTGATGAAATACCGGAAATTCAGGACATCTTGTCCACGGCAATTCTCCTTATATGCTTTTTTGACACAACTCATGAAGCTGGTCTTAGACGCCTACACTCCATGATCTGTCTGCCCAAGCGGCATCATGAGTGTGGCTCAGCTGACGTCAATCCGTCCCCCGACCAGATCCGAATTGCCGGCCCCGGACCCTCAGGGCCTGATCAGCACCGATGCAGGTAAGTGGCTTGCCGATTTCGCCGTTGGACCTCCCGTAAATGGAGTGAACAACGGCCAAGACCCCATCACACTGGATGCGGAAGCTGGCCCAAGCAACGTGAGTTCTCCCGTTAAAGAAAATATCCCGTAGGACTTTATCGTTGCGCCCATGACATCTGCAGGCATACGCCTTAAGAAGAAAGGGCCAGGATTTGTCGAAGGCAACGCTTGGCAACCCCACATCACATCCTTCGCGGCGAAAAGTACACTACAACATCAACTTTCCCGATTGGGCAACCCAAAGAAGATTCCATTTCTTCTCATTCTAAAAGTCTAAAGTAAAGGTCTTACAAGAATTGAACTACACATTAGGTATCCGCCAGGCCATGCAAATGCAACGCTGACAATGACGAAAGGCACATCCAAATTCGGACCTGCGTCCATCAAGAAAAGTCTAAGCCCTACGCAGCTCTATCCAGACTCTGCGCCTCGCACATCTTCTTGTACATCCCGCCTTGCTCGATAAGTTCATTGTGAGTTCCCGTTTCGACGATGCGACCGCCGTAGAAGACGCAGATCCTGTCTGCGTCACGGATCGTGGAAAGGCGGTGCGCCACGGCGATGGTGATGCGATCACCCGTAGCTGCGGCTTCCATAAGGGCTTTCTGGACGACCTTCTCCGATTCGGTATCGAGTGCACTGGTGGCCTCGTCCAGTAGAATGACACTGGGGTCGCGAACCAAGGCCCTGGCGATGGCGATGCGTTGTCTCTGACCACCGGAAAGTTGGTTTCCACCCTGTCCACAGGAGGTGTTGAGGCCTTCGGGAAGAGAGCTGACAAAGTCCCACGCATTGGCTGCGCGGCATGCTGCTTCAATCACACCATCATCCACCAGAACCGCCTTCTCGTCGGAAGCTTCGGAAGCTTCTGTTGGGAGGTCGATTCCTGCCGCAATGTTCTCGCGGATGCTGCCCGGGAAGAGGGTAGGCTCTTGCTGCACAAGAGCTAACTTGTTGCGATAAAGGCGAGGACTGATCGCAGTGAGGGGCGCAGATTCATCAATTGTGATCGTGCCGCTAGTAGGATCGTAGAATCGTTGGAGAAGGGAAATCATGGTGCTCTTGCCGCAACCTGAGGCGCCGACAAAAGCGACAAACTGACCGCGATCGATCTTTTGGGAACCAAATGTCAGTCCTCTTGTTCACCAATGTCAAATGGGCATAACTCACTTTCAAAGTAACACCCTTGAGTACCCTGGTGTCTGGGGCCAAGGGGTATGAAAACTGGACATTGTCGAAGCCATAGGAGCTGCAACCATCAGGAGGGCCCTTGTCACTGTTTTCCCGGGTGTCTTGAATCGTGGGCTGGAGTCCCATCAGCCAGAAGTAATAGTTGGCAGCGGAATTGGCCTTGGTAAAACCTGGGAAGACACTGTGGTTAGAGGCTATGAGCCATAGCATAGTGATATCTACTTACTGCTGGAGAAACTGAAGATCATGCCCGCAGCCTGACCGGAGAAGAAAACACCCATGAAGGAAATAATGAATTGGGAGAAGTTGATCTCGCCGTCCGAAACAAGACGTGATCCCCACCAGAATCCTAGGGCAAGAATGAAAAACTCGATGGATTGAGTAAGGGCGAACCAGATCATCATGTTGAAAAGCGGAAGAGTCGAGCTTGAGATGGCGTTGTCGAGCTCATTCGTATATCGTTGAATCACGCTCTTCTCAATAGCAAGAGAGGAGACCGTACGGATTGCATTGACGGTCTCGGATGCCAAAGACGCACTTGTTGAGAACTTCGCGTCGACCTCAGCGTCGAGCTTCGTTTCAATACGAATACGGGCGAAGCCAGCTCCGAGGAGAGGAGGCATGCCTGCGAAAACACCGACAAGGCCAAGCTTCCAAGACACTGCGATCGCAAGGATACTGCTAGCGACGACATTGACAAAAGACAGGAAGGCGAGAGCGACGTTAAATCCCATCAGTTCTAAAATCGCTTGTGCCATGGAATCGATTCGGCTGTTGAGGGCGCCAACTGTGTTCTCAGCTCGGTCGAAGAAACGAAGGTCTTGTCTTAGCATTCCGTTGAGGAGACCCTTGCGAACCTTTTGGCTGAGAGTCTGTAAGAGGTTAGTGAAGGTTGACACCAATAAAATCAGAGAGCGTACCTGAGCAATCACGTTCGTTGTCCAGCCCATGATATAGTAGACAGTTAGAGTACCTATGGACATGACGAAGTACATCAGAGCGATAAAGTTGCCGCGCTTGACCATGTCGGGGGAGGTAAATACGTCCATGACCTGAGACAGAAGAAGAGTCTGTCCGGGGTAGACAGCAGCTGAAGGTGGGTTAGCGCGTAGTGCCTATCGTGGGCTGGCCACTAGACTTACCTCCGAGAACACAGACGACGAAGGCACTGCCGTACCACATTTTGATCTCAGATGTAGAGCGGATGAGCTTGACGATCGTGTGCACAAGATTGGTCTGCTTGTAAAGCTTGAAGTCCTCCTTGTCTTTGAACGAGACGAGTCGTTGCGCTGCCTCCGTGTCATACTTGGCCAGGGACTGAACGGGCTCAGCTGCCTCAGTCGAGTCGTCTTCGGAACTCTCGTCGGTGCTCCCCTTTTCCTTGACAGAAAGATCTTGCGCTTTCACCAGCTTGGCGTAGTTCCCGCCCAGTGCAACTAGCTCATCATGCTTTCCTTGCTCCACGATCTTGCCCTTGTTCATCACCACAATGTTGTCTGCGTTTCGGATGGTAGCAAGTTTGTGGGCAATAACAACGGTAGTCCGGTTCTTGGAAGCGCTGTCCAAAGCTTGTTGCACAATGCCTTCGGCATGAGGGTCCAACGCGCTTGTTGCTTCGTCAAGTAGGAGTATTTTGGGCTCGGAGATAACGCTTCGTGCAATGGCGATACGTTGCTTTTGACCACCGGATAGCAGTCCACCCCTCTCGCCAATTCGGGTATCGTATCCTTCGGGGAGGTTGCTGATGAATTCGTCGGCGAACGCGACCTTGGCCGCTTGCTTGACGCGCTGAAGTTGATCCTCTCGTGAGGCATTCTCCAAAGGGGTTCCGACCAGGCCGTTGACGATGTTCTCGAAGACGGTACCGTTGAAGAGAACAGGCTCCTATTTGAGGTCAGTCTTCCAGCCATGTCTCATACTTGGTTCCGGAGCATGCCACACACCTGCTGAACAAGTCTCATCGTCGTGCGCAACCAACCAAGGCTCAAGTCACGGATGTTGATACCATCGAGGCTGATAGATCCGGAAGCAGGATCGTACCATCGCTCTAGGAGGCCGATGATGGTACTCTTCCCGGAGCCGCTGGATCCCTGCGGTGTTGTAAGCAACGTTTCGCTGACATATCGCGATCTGAACATACCACAAGAGCTGTCACCTTGCCAGCGGGGATGCTTAGAGAATAATCCTCGAGAACTCGGGTGTCCGGTCGCGTGGGATAGCTAAATGTGAGTCCTTTAATGTCAATATGCCCTGAAACTTGGCGAGGGACTTGACCGGATTCGTCGAATGGGTTGATATTGGACTTTCTATCGATCAAGGTGAAGAGTTCCGAAGCGGAGGTAGCAGCACGACTGAACGCCATCAGGTGAGGGGCTACACCATTGATGGAAGTCGAGGCGATGATAACGGAGAACAAGACCCTATGAGCATTTGATCAGCAGAGCGATTATTGAAAGACTTGCAGTTTAGCGTACGTGAAAACCGTGCCGATGCCGTCCACTTCCTTGCGCGCAATCATAGCAATACCCTGCCAAAAGGCCAAAGCCATGCCTGCGTAAACAACGAAGTACTGCCAACCAAACATCACACCATAGATGGGACTCTTCTTGTTACCGATGGCCCGCGATTGGTCGAGATACGAGCTGTACTTCTGCATGATGCGAGACTCCAAGCTGAAGGCTTTGATAGCACGAATGCTCCCTAGGGCGCTCTCCGCGTAGGTTCCTGCTTGTGCGTTGGACTGCAAGATCTTGGTCTCAAAGCCAGAGTCGATAGCTGCCATGGCACCACTGACAAGAACAATAGCCGGAACGATGCAAATAATGATGAGTGTCAGTTTCCATTGGCTTACAAAAGCGATGATGAAGGCAGCGAAGAAAGTGGAGACGGAAGAGAAGAAGAGGCCAAGTTTCTCAGCAATTCCAGACTGGATGAGTTTTCCGTT